CTGTCATCTATCAGGAGGAAAAAAGTTTTACAGTTAGTGAGCTACAGTAACCTGTGTAGCAGTGGAACAAGCTTTCCCAGATATCAAGTCTTAGCAAGATACTCCAACAATGTACAAAATACTATAACCCATAGCAATCAGAATGGAAAAAAGGAACTCCAGGAACAAAAAGTTCAAGATAAACCTCACAGGATAAAATTTATAAGGATAAAAACCTGTTAGGCTAGGTTCACACCAATGCAGTTTTGTGTTTGACTCGTTTCTGCAGTGCTTTTTGCACTTTTTTTTCCCCTTTTTGATAGGCAATTAAACGCATCAAAAACATGTCAGAAAAACGCACTGCATGCTTTTCTGCAGCGTCTCCACTGAAGTCTATAGAATAGAAAAAGCAATGTTTTACGTTTAAAAAAGTCTGATGCTTCCAAAAAAAACGCACTGGGTGAAACCGCGGACATGTGAACATGTCCCATAGGAAATCATGTTAAAGTGTATTTCTGCAAAACGCTTAAGTGTGAACCTAGACTTGGGAAGATTTTTAACTACCTCCAGCATCAGTGAACACATTGGGCAAAAAGTGATATATTGTCAACAGGAACACAGACAAAAAAAGCAAAAAGAAAAAACCCTATTGTGCTTCTCTATGTCCTAAAACTAATCAAGGCGTTTTCTTTCCTGTACAGTATATCATAGCTCTCTGACATGGTAGGGTGTGCCAGGAATACATATCATACCACTACAACGTTTAAAGTGAAACTTTGGGCAAAACTGGCTCCTGTCTAAATTGGCCCTAGTATTTGTGTGTGTATGCATGTATGAATGTGATTTAGGGATCTTACATTGCATGCTCCTTGAGGGCAGGGACTAATGTGAATATAATGTGCAATATCCATAAGAAGCACTGTGTAAAACTGACAGGACTATATAAGTACCTGTAATAAATAAAATCAAGTAACTACTACTGTTGGGCAAAGTCCCCGTCATTGCTTCCTAAGCAGGAAACCAGCTACTTCATACACATGAGAACTACAGTGCTACATGAAACACACGCTAGGGGCATTACCATTACCTACATTGATTTCTTTGCCTCTGCCTGGGGTTCAAATCTAAAGGTTGTGTCTCTCTTCTCCTATCATAGGCTTATCTTGCTAGCGGTGATGATACAACCCAACACAATAAAAGGGAAACCAGAAAGAATCTGCAGAGAGACCCCACTAGCTATAAACAAAGGGGTGTCAGATACACAGCAGCACTGAGCTGCTAAATAATCAGATCACAGGTGGCCTGCCATTCTCAGCACTTTGCAGCAATGTCCAGTATATCCTGTGCTGGAAAGCCAAATAAACGATTTTCTGTCTTAATCTCCCTCTTTTCTTTCCCCCATTATATAGACACTTGCTGTGAGATAAAAATTAAATTAATAGAATGTATTTGGCTTGTTGCAACCCCTTTAATGGAATAACAGTACTATGCAAACATTTTAAGCAGATGTGAAAAAAATGATGAAAATAAGAAACCTTCCAGAAAAAAAAAAAAAAAGTTAAGTTTATTTTTAGCAATTAAAAAGATTAAAAGTAAATTAACAGAAGCAACAGTGAAGCATGGTGGAGGTTCCTTGCAAGCTGGAGATTTGGTTAGAATCAATGGTGACCTCAATGTTGAGAATACAAGCAGATACTTATCCATCATGCCATACCATAATGTGGAACAACCTACCTGCTGTGTTTCTTTAAAAAAACAAAAAACCCTGTGCACAAGCACTGTGGGTAAGTAGTCAAATTGATACTGGTTTGAAGCCAAAAAGGGTAGTCACACCAAATATTGATTTGATTTAGATTTTTTTTTTCTGTTCGCTCAGTTGGCATTTTATAGATTGATAAAAACAAAACGATCAAAATGTATATTTTTAAAAGCATTCTTATGTTACGGAATTTCTTCACATCTGTCTAAAACATTTGCATAGATAGATATTGAAGGGTGGGTGTATATCTGAAGATAGCTTTCTTGAATGGGGGACCCTGCCAAAAAACCCCAAACAATTCACCACTCTAGGACCCGCCCCCCCATAGCTGATATACTGCTACAGAGCGACCCTCCAGTGCAAAATCACACATATAAAACAGGATTAAGCCCTTCCACCCAGAGGCCCGCACTACCGCCCGGTTCCATTGTGATAACTCACAGCAGAAACCGATCAGCCGGTGCCAGCCAACAGATGTCCACCGGCACCTGCCGATCATCAGGCAGAGACACAGAACAGAGCTGTAAACAAGGCAGGAAATAAGATCCAATCACTTCCCTTAGTAACAGCAGCACACACAGTACATAAAACACTCAGCTAGGCACACAGTTGACCGTTTGATCACCCTAGACGTCTAACCCCTTCCCTGCCAGTGTCATTAGTACAGTGACCGTGCATATTTTTAGCAGTGATCACTGGATTAGTGTCAGTTCTCACAAAGTTTCAGTGTCTGATTGTCCCCCGCCACAATATTGTAGACACTAAGTTTTGCGCAAACCAATCAATATACACTTATTTGGGATTGATTTTTCTTTTCTTTTTTTAATCAAAAATATGTAGCAGAATATGTATTAGCCTGAGTTTATGCAGAAATGTTATTTTTTTTAAATGTTTTCATTGAATATGTTTTAAATCACAAAGTAAAAAAAAAAAAAATGTTTTCTTTCAAAACTGTCGGTCTTTTTTGTTTATAGCACAAAAAATAAATGCAGTGGTGATCAAATGCCACCAAAAGAAAGCGTTTTGTGGGGAAAAAAAAAAAAAAAAAAAAAGACAAATTTGATTTGTGTACAGTGTTGCATGACCGTGCAATTTTCAGTTAAAGTAACAGTGCTGTATCGCAAAAAATGGCCTGGTCATGAAGAGAGTGGGGGGGGGGGGGTAAATCTTCTGGAGGGCAAGTGGTCAATATATATATATAAAATTTTGGAAAGGGTTGTTCATTTACAGCATTTCTTCACACCTGCCTAAAACTAAAACAGTACTGCATGTCATGCGACAATTTACCATTATATAGAATGAACAGTGTAATAACTATATACTGAAGTGTGTACTGGATTATACCTAGGGAGGCATTTGCATTTTGCATCTCTTGGTCCGACACATGGATTTTGACCCCAGATTTGGGTGTAAACTCTGCCACTTTGACAGTTTTTAGAACCTCTAGTACAGCAGCTTTGTCCATGGATCCACTGACACCGTATGTCTCTGCAAAGAGGTTAGCAGCTGCCATGATGTAATCCAAGTGCAAGGACTAGGAATAACAGAACAAAATGTGAGATGATTTTTATAGCGCAACAGGAAAAACTAGCACAAATGTCGGACATTATATTGGAGAACTTACATTGTTTCCACTGAAAACTAAAGGATGGGGACATCTTTTGGGGCCAGACCAGAAAGGAGCACCAGATGAGGTCAGCTAAATAAACAAAACACAACCACTAATCAGATACCAGTTACTGTTTCAGTCACGTTGCTTTTGTATCAACTTGAGGCTCATTGTTGGATGACAGGCTACATGAACACCTTGAGAACCAAGCTCTCCTGGCAGCTGAAACCGCTAGCTGCAGCAAAAATGCGTGTAAACGCGGTACTGCGATTAGCGCCTGGACATTAATTCATTTGATTGGCCAGAGAATTTTCCAATGAATTGGGCTAAACACGCCTAGCGTTTACACGTGTTTTCTTGCCTTTTGTGATTCTGGGCCAAAACGTTCCTCTCTTGAATGCGATTCTTCCGCACTCAAGAGAGGGACATTTAACTGCCCCCAAACACAGCTGCTGCAAATGCGGATAAAAGCCTGTGTGTGCATGGACACAGGTTTTTAATGTGTTAACTTCAGGGGGCTTTGGCAAAAAAAGAAAAAAAAAAAAAACACAAAACAAAAAAAAAAAGCCAAAAGCTCCTAAACTCGAGTTTAGGAGCAGCAGTGTACATGAGGTCTTTAAGTGGTTGTAAACCCTTACATACACTCAGTGAAGTGACTGGCCTCAGGTGATACATAGAGATTAAACAAATCCTCCTATGTAAGTTAACCTGTTGATCTACAGCAGTCTGACCTACGAATATTCAAAATTCACATGACCTCTCAGCTCTGAAAAGCAGGAGGTGGGGAGCTGAAGTTACATCAGTGAGGAGAGCTCTGAGAGCCGTTTAGAGGGAAAGGACACAACCCTCCCCTTCACACAGAACACCATAACAGAGTTGAGGCTGTCAATCACAGGCTGTGCCCTCCCCTCTCATCACTACTCTCGGTGTCTCAAAAACTCATTAAAAGTGAATTATGCAGATGGCAGAGGAATGAGGCAGTGGACAGAAATGACATGTAGTGCTCTGGATAGAGACAAGCACACAGTATAAAAGGGATATGCTTTGTTCATATTTCATGTCTGAGGTTTACAACCATTTCATGTTGAGGTTTAATATGACAGTGTCTGCTTTTTAAATGAAAATACACACACCTCACATAGATATTATAAACAAACATACACTGTGAATATTATACGAACATACATCTTAACATAATTTCTTATGTACTAATCTGCCTAGAGAGTAACAAAGGAGTAAAGGGGGAGGGGCACAAAATAGTTCATGTCTTGAATACAAAAACTTAGGACTGGTCATGAGAATGATGAGAATTAAAAAAAAACAAACACACACAACTTGTGTCCTTTTATTATCTTAACTTGTTTGCTGAAAAAAGCTCACCTTATACCATGCTCAGTAAGTGATGTTCAGATAACCTTCTCTGAGCATGCAGTGTAATGTGCATCACAACCTCCCCATAAACAACCACAACCATGATATTTTCTCTTTACACAGATTTAAAATGAGCAATTTAAGATAGAAAATATATATTTTAAATTTAAATATTTTCTAAAATTGAGAGCACAGACGTCAATGTCGTGGGGACAATGTAAACACAAAGTTTCAGAACTCTGTGCATGTATTGCAAGACTTTCAGACCTCACTAGATTTGATTTAAAAGGCGCCACATACCTGGTCCGGAGGGAAATTGTGCAGCAGCTGACGGATATTATTGGAGTACTGAGTGTGCCAATGATGAAAAGCCCAGGACACGCAGTCTGTCCAGGTCTTAGGCCGGTCTGTAACTAGGCTCTTATAAACAGCTTCGATCACCTCGAGGGGTTGAGAGCCTGGCAGCTTCAAAGTCCTTTCCATGAACTTTGGATCTCTGAGAAAATAAAAAAAAATAAAATTTTTATATACTATAATATATATATTTATTTATTTATTTTTAAGAATGGTTATATCTACCGCTGAGCTTTGAAGAGATCTGTGAAGGTCTAACTGACTACAAATGAGGCCAGCTTATGGAAGACCATTACAGACAGGTGCGTTAACATGCAATTTGTCACTTACGTTAAATATTGATTAACATTGTCTCCTGGTTGCTTGAAGAGACCCTCAAACTCATCCCGAGCCCACTAAAAAGTGAAAAAGATGTATGGTAAATTAAAAGCTCAAGGAAACATTGGTATTTCTCTCTCATCCACTGAGAAACACATGAAGTTTAAAAACGTTCGGCTATCAATAAGCAGTGCAAATGAGCGATGGGTCTCTAAGGGCTTGTTCACGCATATGTCAATACCATGTGTTTATGCGGCATTTATTCAGCATTTTTAAAGCCTTATAACCGCCCCTTCAACGACTGTTTACACAGAAGCCGTAGCATTGTGTTGTTATGTCATGTTAAAAATAAAGCATCAGGTAGCTTTCATGAGGCATTGAGACTTGTCAGCCATCTCCATTGATTTCATCATTGGTAACCGCTCCTTAACACCTACAGCATTTATGACTTGTTTGCTCCTTAACACCTACAGCATTTATGACTTGTTTGTAAAGAGTTTATAAAGTGCTAACTGGGCATTGGGAGAGAGACAGTGGAAACGTGTGTATCCTAGAATGCACTGGGAAATAAGAGAACTAGGACAGAGGTCCAGGCACTTACTGTTTGTACAGAGCATCCATGTGGTAACACCAGTGGCTAAGTGGTTAGCACTTATACCTAGCAGAAATAGGGTCACTGGTCCAAATCCCAACTACAGCACCACCTGCCTGGAGTTCTGATGTTCTCCCTGTGCCTGCATGGGTTTCCTAAAGGTACTCCGGTTTGCTTCCACACTCCAAAACATGCAGGCAGGTTAATTTACTCCTGTCTAAATTGGCCCTAGTATTTGTATATATGAATGTAAGTTAGGGACCTTAGATTATCCGCCCCTTGAGGGTTAGGGACTGATGTGAATGTACAATATATATGTAAAGTACTGCGTAAATTGACTGCGCTTAAACAAGTACCTGTAATAACCACCACTTGCCTCTTGCAGACAAACCATCAAGCCAGCCATCAATACTGGCAGTGAGAGGTAGAAGCAGGGGCATTGAGCATTATTGCCAGTGGCAAAGCTTTTTGTTTCAGCAGAGTTGAGCTGGACTAAACCAAGTGTCAAAGAGATCAAAAGTATACAAATCCATCTTTTAGATTGTAAGCTCTAATGGGCAGGGCCCTCTGATTCTTGTATTGACTTGTAATGCAACTGCACTGAGGTTGTAAGGCACTGTGCAAGCTGTTGGTGCTATATAAATCCTGCATAATATAATAATCTTGCAGAGAATTCAGAAAATTGTCTATTACACTACAACCTAACCACGCTTCAAAGTGATTTCCGCTAAAGCAATTCCCCTTTAAGTTCTTCACAGTAGAAAAGGAAAACATGGGCACCCCTTAAGTATTCTTGAAGCTTTTTTAACGCTTCATAAAACACCTTAAATGCTATATGTGCATGACTTTGTTCATTATTAACATACGCATGAATGAGCCCTAACAGGCCCAAGATGAAACAAACTGGAGACTGCCTGCAGTTTAGAATTTGCCTAAAAGACTTTATACTACAAGCCAGCATCAGATTGGCAGGGGAAAAAAAAAATAAAAAATCACGAGGGCTTTTAGTGCCCAGAGGCCTGCCTGAAAGAGGACAAGGAGACTTTTATATGGTGCAAACATAGTTCTATAAACTAAATCAGAGAAATTACATATATTCATTAAAACCTATACATATTTTTTACCATTAAAATTTGCTAAAATCACACAAGAGTCATTTTATATTTGTATAATCTGATCAGATCTGTGTACCGATCTCCATTGCCAGTACCATGTGACCTGCTGTAACGAATCACAGCAGGCCACATGATAATTGTATACAATGTGTGGCTTCCTTTCATGCCATCCATTGTATATAAGTGTGTCTAGCTGTGAATGGTAACAGTGATCACATGCACAGGCTGGGCCAATCACAGCCCATCTGTGTCATGTGATTAGCCATGTCCCAGCACAGCTAATCACAACAAAAAAAACTGAATGAATCGATTTCATTCAGTTAAATGCTTGCTTATAGCAAAGAAATGCTTTGCTATAAGCAAATAGTGTTTTTAATTTAAGAAAAAAAAAGAAAAAATAAATAAATAAATTTTTTTTTTCCCGTACTGTCACCAGTGTCCCTAATCACCGCCACACCAGTTATATGACAACACTGTACTGCACTGGTGACAGTATGTAAAAAAAGTGAAAAATTTTTAAATTTCTTCATTTTCCAAAACAATTACAACTTCACCATACCTCTTATGAAATACGTCGGACTGTCTACTTTGCAAAAAAGGGGTCTTTTGAGGGATATCTGTACTGTTCTGACATTTTTGCGCCTCAACAAATTAGATTGGCTGTCAGTACTTCAGGATTGATCAATTTCTAGATATATCCCATAGTTTGTGGACTCTATAAAACTTTCCTAGAGATCAAATAAATACTGATTTGGGTTATTTTCACCAAAGAAATGTAGCAGAATACATTTTGGACTAAATTTATGAAGAACAAATTACTTATTTGCAAACGTTTAGAACAGAAACAAAGGAAAACTTTTTTTTCCGAAGTGTTCTGTCTTTTTTTGTTAATTTAGCAAAAAATAAAAACCCCAGTGGTGATTAAATACCACCAAAAGAAAGCTCTGGTTGTGTGAACAAAATGATAAAAATTCAGTTTGGGTACAGTGTTGCATGAGCGCACAACTGTCATTCAAAGTGAGTACTGAAAGCTGAAATTTGGCCTGGGCAGGAAGGGGGTAAAACTGCCCGGTATTGAAGTGGTTAACTATGTTGCTGTCCAAAAGGGTGCCCCTGTGCTCCTTCATCCAGAGAGAAAAAACACTCTAATACAAGTGGTAGGTTACTGGCCAGGTCATCAGTTGAAAACGAAGAGAAAACAGATAACAGAAAAAAAAAAAAAAAAAAAAAAAAAAAAAAAAAACACACACTAATGCAGCCAAAATATCTATTGATTGGTAAGCTGCAATATACAGTACTACATTTTTATGGTTTTCGGTTCATTTCTGCTTTAAAGCCGAACCCCAGGATTCTCATTTTTGTGCCAATCTTTCTGGGTACGTTAACCACACCGTACCTAGGACAATTTTTTTTTTCTATTTCTGCACATTAAAAAAAAAAAAAAAAAAAACAGTAACAGTATTTTGATAGAAAATTACCCAAAACTCTTAAAGAATTATATTTTTTCTGAGCGCAAAGGCCTTGTAAAATAATATTGTTGCTTCCAAATTTATGTTGCATGACGACATTTGTGCAACAATTTATCAAATCTTTTGCCTCAGGAAAAATGCACAAAATGCAATACCCAATTTTTTGTAAATTAAAAAAATATGGCTGCATCAAGTGAATAGATACCAAACATGTCCAGCCTTAAGCCGCTTCACCCCGATGTGGTGCGGAATTTGCAGCGGTTTCTGTGTGAATTCCACACATCAGAATCGCACTCCGTTCATGTGAACAGCTGCAGGTGTGTATGTTAAGTTAACAACACCCCGACAGCGGTCCGCAAAACGCGGTGCGATCTGCAGAATCAGATCGCATAGGTGTGAATACCCATACGATCCTATTCTAGTGCGGACCCAAAAAAGGGTCCTGCACATTTTTGGTGCGGGTGCGGTGCGAATAGAGCCTGGTGTGATTGGTGGTGTGATTAGAGCCATACAAAAATGTACGGCTCCAATCGCACCGCACACAAAATCGCATGTGATTTGCACAGGAATGCGGTGCAGTTCCTGTGTGAATCATATGTGATATACAGCACTGCATATATGTCAACCCAGGCTTAAAACTACAAACACCTGATAAATGGCGGAAAACTAGGGTACCCAAAATGTCCACAGAGGACTCTTTAAAAACCTTTACAAATTAATGCCCTATAAGTATCACTCTTATTTCAACGCCTCACATTTTGCAGTCACAGTTTACATACACATGGGAACCCTAAGTATACATTTGCATTCGCGTGTGCACAGAGTCGCATTTAAATTTCTTTTACCATACCACACGAGCAGCACTGATAACATTTACTAGACAGCTGAATAAACGTTACCAAGCTCACAGTTACTACCGAAAACTGGTTTTAACTACTTTAGTCACAAGCAGTTAAAAAAAAAAAAAAAAAAAAAAAAAAAAAAAAATGTTCACAGACCATTTGTAAACAAGGAACTTGAGCTTTTCTTTGGAAAAATTAACATTTTTAGCAAGTGATGGTATTTGTTTTCAGATGAAAGAGCAGCTATGCTTGGGCACCAGAATTAGGGATCAATGATGCATCGACATCAAATACTTTATTTCTTTAGACGATAATGAAACAAACTTGAAATTGGACATTGGTGCTGGTAATAGGTGTGAAAGTTGGCAGGACAGTCTCCTGGTCTGTTAATCAAATAAGGCTCAAAGAGCTGATGAGTCTTCCCAATGCCTTTCATTTACATTTTCAATTGAATGGGTTATTTTACAAGGTGAGGGTTTCCAATAACGTTAAAGAAAAGGTCTGTGCATTTAATAACTATGTTCATCATACATTGTGCATTATAGATCAGCCTACCTGTAATGTATGTTCAATGGCATTTGGGAAGTTCTTCAGGGTACAGATGGGTATAGACTTCTCTGGTGGATCCTGGCTTGAGCTGTAGGACTCGGTGATGAAAGGTATGACAACTTGGACGTTCCCTTTTGTTCCTAACGTTCCAGATTCCAGAAGTGGTTTTCGGTAATAGACACAGCGACGGTCCATATACATCCCTAATTAACACCAAAAGACAGAGTGAGCATTCTGTCAAAATCCAGCTGCAGTGACAGCCTATAAAACAAACAGATCTCCAAGTGATGGTTTCAAAACTGTAAGCACTTGTTTTAAGCTCCAACAATAGCAGGTCTGGTTAATTAGCAAAAAAGGCAGCTGCTACAAAGCAAAGGCTTTACTTTATAAATATATGCGACTAGAACAAAAACAAAAGAATAAAAAAAACAAAAAACCAAAAACACATTTTTGTTACTCATGTAAAAATTCCTTTCTTAGAGAGTTTATTGATGGACACTGCTTTTTTTTTCCCATATTCATGACTGATAGGCAGGGGCAGACTGACCATTTGGAAACTTGGGCACTGCCCGAGAGCCAGGGGTCAGTAGGGGGCCCCATGAGATGCCCCTGGTACCTTTTTCATAGGCTTTTTTGAGTTTGGGCAAGGACACAGGGGCCCCATGATCCCCTATTGCCCGGGGGCCCCATGAGTTGGGGCCCCATGAGTTGTCAGTCCGCCCCTGCTGATAGGGTTTCATAGCACCACCCACGAGGAGTAGGAGCATAAGCAGGAAAGAGCTCAGCACCTCCTATGGGCAGTCTTTTATGCATAAAACCCCCTCTCACTGCATAGGCCACCAGTTCATATAAAGCAGTGTCAGAAGCAAACTCCAACAGAGCGGTGGGTGCTGTATTCATTTTACTCAGAGAAGGGTATTTTACAGTAACAAAAAAAAATGGTCGTTCATTGATGGACATATCTTCTCTTCATACTCATGGCTGATGTGGCACTGTTTTGGCACATCCCTAACAAGGGTTGTGCAAATCAAAGGAGCAAGTAGGCAAACATATCTCAACACCCAAAAACAACTCAAAGGGGCCCGCAAGAACCTCAAATAGCAGCCTGAAAAACTTTGCAGCCAAAACTAGAAGCCAAAGATACCAACACATTAACTTTGTAGAATTTAGCAAAGGTATGCAGAGACAACTAGGGTGCTGCCTTGCAAACCTGAGACACAGATGTTTTACTATGTCGGAACATCCAGGAGGTACTAATCGCCCTGGCGGAATGAGCTGTAAAGGGAAGAGCCCACTCCTTAATAGCATACGTCTGAACAATTGTATACCAAATCCAACAAGAAATTGTGGCAGAAGAGGATGCCCTGCCCTCCCTTGGACAGTCGGTGAGAAACAAAAACAAAAAAAAACAAAAAAAAAAAAAAAAAAAAAAAAAAAAAAAAAAAAAGGAGGAGTTGGATCTCTAGAAGCAGATAATTACACTCAAATCACTCACATCCAAGGAGTGCAACGCCACTTCCCTAGGATGAGGCGGCCAAGGACCATGTCCTCATTCAGATGGAAAGACAACACTACTTTCAAAAGAAAGGACAGAGACGGATGAAGAACCACCTTGCCTTTGTGTAGATAGGGAGGCTTACAGGACAGGGCCACCAGCTCCGACGTGCTCCATACAAAAGGGTAACCAGGAAGGCCACTTTCTGTAAGAGTATGTAAGGGAATATCCTAAATGCTCTCAAGGGGAGGTTTTTAGAGAACTGAAAGAAGTAAATTTAAGTCCCATGGTGGCAACAGCGAGCTCAGGAGGTCTCACATGTCGAAACCCCTGGATAAAAGTGCAAATCAAAGTGTGTGGACAAGGGCTGCTGAAAAAGACAGCAAGGACAAAGACTTGACACTTATCGCTTCTGCTTTAGGCTGAAGATTGTATAAACCTCCCAAAATATTATATATTTTCTGAAAGCAGACTCCCTAGAGAATAAAAAAGTAATAGCAATTTTTTTATGTCACACTATATTATTGCAAAGGTCTGGGAAAATGCAAAAAGTCAGTAAAAAATAAAAAAAAGTTGATTTTAGGGCACAGAAGTGCAATTTCCCAATTTTTGATAATATATTAAAGGTTGCACCAAGTAAATAGATACCCAACATGTCAAACCTTAACTTTGCGTGCTCCCAAGATATGGCGACAGACTTCAGTACTCTATATTTTCTACAGGTGACACTCTAAAAGCCCCCTATAGATCATTTTAGTGTTACAGAGGTAGTCTGGTGTTATAAATATTGTTCTCACTCCAGCAAGCACGGCAATATGTAACGTGTATCGCAGTCAATGTTTTCGAAGGTGCCCTGAAGCGTGTTTACATTTGTATGCGTGGGGGTGCCTCAAGTTTTTCTGCAGGGGATTTTATATGCTTTGATGTAACTAATATTTTACAACCAAAAAAAAAAAATTCTTAGTTTTCTTTTTCATGATATAAGGATCAAAAAGTCTCCAATGTGATTTTTTGGTGACAGGTTCTTGTTAACAAAACATCCAAGGTCTGAAAGACCCTGGATGTCTCCCCTGTGCTCCAAGAGACACCTGCAGGATCACCCCCTCAAGGAGCACCTGAGACCCACATCATGTCCATTCAGGAAGGGGAGACTGGTTGGGAGGTGGATCTGTCATGGGAGCCTCATCAATCATGAATATAAGAGAACCTTTATCAGTCAATGGACGACTGAGAAAAACAAAAATGAGCCTAGGGCTGAAGAAAGGGAGTGCATGACAAGAGTGCCCATAGACACAAATTTTAAGGCTGCAAGCTTGTGGTGGCACAAGGTGTCTCCTTGGAACCGCAGTTCACAGTCAGCACCCAGGACAAAAACTATATTAAAAAACAAACAAAAAAAAAAGAAGTTCAAAACCCTGGAAACTAAAAAGCCTTACCACCACAGGTGCCCATTATCTAGAAAGAAAGCCTCAGGTTCAGCATGTAGCCAAAAACAGTGTACTATAGAGGACAAAAGGAAAAAAAAAAAAAAAAAAAATGGAACTCAGGAGCAAGCACCCACAGTGAATCTATAAATCTGGTGACAAACTGATGGAGAGCAAGGGATGCTCACAGTGCCTAGTGACCCTCCTCCTAGAGAGGGGACTTAGGAGTTCCATGATCAACCATTGAAGAAAATACATTTCTTCCTGATGTTCAGCAATACCACATAAGCGTCTGCATACCTCTTTGTATCAACCAATTTCATTAATTTAACAATGCTCATTACACCTGGTCACACCGATCCCAACTTTGAAATCATGCGACTTACGGTGAAGTCAGATGACATGCTGATTTGAGGTGCGATTTGAAAAGACATCCGACACAGATGTCTATGCAGATTGCACCAAAAGTAGTGCATGCATTACTTTAGAAATCGGTGCGGTTCCGACTTGGTCCGCTGTAATTGTGGACAATAGGGTGCGATTTTCAAGTTGTATGGAATGCAAATCGCATGCCAAGTCACACCCAGTGTAAGCAGGGACTTAAAGTGAACCCATCCCCATCAGAGTGACGAATGCTTCATTGCAAAGTGTGTGTTTGACCTACAGAGCCCAAACCCAGGTTCCAGTCATGGAAGACCAGACTACATAAAGAACATTCAGTGTTCATGTGATGTACAATTAGAATAAAACACCAATAGGTACAGGTAACCTGAAGTTCCTGCCATTAGAGTAACAGCAGATATCAGTACCTTATGTGACAGCTAGCCGTACTGACAAAAACCTTAAAAAAGTACTTAAGCTGAATAGGTGAAATTCACACAGAAAAAAGCTCCAATGGAACAGCAAGGAGCAAAGTTAGCAATAGTCATGTCAAACAGAAAAAGCTCATGATTACTCACTGGCATCTACATTATCAAGTGCATTAGCTACGCCATCTAGTGATTCAAAGAAATCATCATCATAAACTTTCTCAGTGTCTGGTCCCACTCGATTCTGGTGTGCAGTGACATGCAAGTCAGGGTTCATCTGTTTGACGGCCTGTGCGGCAGTTTCAGATTTCATTTTCTGTTAGGATAGAGGACACAGACAAATTACATTCTGTCATTTATTGGTGGGACATTATAAATCTTTAACTGTAAATAAACCCACAACAGTAAAATCCGTCTGTATATGCAGTAAAGCATGCTTGTTATATAGGACCTAAGGGGCTAATCCTCGTTCAAATGTCAATGTCTTATCTCCTGATAAGACAGACTGAACCCTGCACATGCTCAGTTTGGTGTGTATGGCTAAAGGGTTTTTTTATTTTCTTGGGAGAGTGCATGTGATCAGCACAGGGCCAATCAGCACTCTCCAGACAGAGGTCAGGGGTTTTGCATCCTCCTAGAGCAGAAAGAAAACTCCTCCTACAAGCTTTAACCAGTGCTCTGCTGAACACTGATAGAATTCAAAAGACTGCTGTAACTGCTGATGAGAAAAGGTATTTCGCAGGTTATATTTACTAAAATAATTGCACTTCCGTGTTCCGCGTAGTGTGGGAGATCAGATATAGTGAATGCAGGGTCCTGGATTTCAATGTTTCTGCAAACTTTTAGCCCTGGTTCACACTGCTGCGACTTGTCATGCGATTTGACAGCTCCAAATCGCATGACAAATTGCACCTTATTTGTGCCTATGGAACTGTTCGAATCAGTGCAGCACAGATTTTGAAGAAAGGTTAATGCACTATTTCTGGCGATTTCATTTGCGACTTGCATAGACTTCTGTGCATGAAGTCGCAAAAGTCAGGTGGGCCACACATGAAATCGCACTGACCAGCGGGTTTGAAATCACGCTACTCCAAGTGAAGTAGCACGATTTCAAAGCTGCATTCAGTGTGAACCAAGGCATAGAGGTTTTTCTGGCCTGCATCAAAAGGGTTAAAGCTGTAATTTGATGAAAACAAAAACTATAAGCCAGCAGCTGAAAAAGGCTAAACCTGCACTTGTGCCGTCACTCACCGTAACATCCCACGTTCTGAAGAGGAACTGTCTGTTCAGGTTAGACTTTTCGATGGTGTCCATATCAGTGACTGTGATCTCTCCACCTTCTTTAGTCCCCAAACCAATCATCGCAAAGTTTTTCAGCAGCTCACAACCAATGGCACCAGCACCAACCTGCACAAGATATATAAAAGATAAGAAAAAAACCAAAAAAGATAAAAAAAAAAAACAAAAAATATAGTCATTGATCACTTTCAACAATGTATCTATTGTGACAAACATCTACATATCTGAAGATACTCAATCCATTTAATAACAGCTTTGTTGCAACATCCTCATCAACTTCAATACATCTACAAGAACAATGATACATTAAAGTATTTCTAAAGTCTAAACATTACTTAGCTTAATGCATTCCCTGCATTAAAGTAAAAAATGTTTAGGTAGCAGTATACCCCCTCAAACTCCCCTTATACTTGCTTGACCCCTCACTCAATCCAGCACTGTGCATGTCTGTAATGGCTCAGCCCATTACAGGCTTTGCTGAGGCAGCGGTAACCACTGGCTCTCGCTGGTCAAATTATGTGACAAGGGAGCAGGGAAATGCCGTGCAGTCTATGGACGAAGGCAGTGCAGCTTGGGAGTGAGCCCACAGGTGTGCCCCCATAGTAAGCATCTTGCTAGGGAACACCATGAAGAGGAGAAGCCAGGAGTTTCGGCAAGGGACATGAGAAGAGAAGGTCCAGGGACACTTTGAAATTCCACTGCACAGAGAAGGCAAGTATAAACCAGATATTCTTAAAACCAAACAAATTTATGTTTATAATCATTAAACACTTTCCCAGATACATTTCAAGAATTTAAAACATTGTGTGCATCGCAGGAAACTGCATTTCTAATTTTAATGCTTGTGGTGCAGAAAATGTGTAGCAATGCTTCCAGGATAGTAATAGACTTTCACCAAATATTTTGTAAATAAAATCAGTCTTGAGAAGGACTTTAACTTTCTTCTCTAGCCAAAGCTTAAACAAATATTGGCTAGAGATAGGCTTTAACAGCTCAAATAAATATTTTAGGGCAACAGTCAACATTACTTGTAGACTATTTACACAAAAGTCCAAAAGTGTTGAAAGAATCTAAGGGGGGGCAACTCACCAAGAAATATCTCTGTTTTCCAAGCTTCTCTTGCAGCCCAGACCCAAACACAGCTATCTGTCCATCGTAGCGACAGTTTTTCTGTTATCAAGTTAAAAGAAAGACATGTCCAGTTAGAAAAAAAACAAAAAAAAACCCAGAGTAAAAATAAGGGTTTGTTGTCTATAGGCCACTAATGATCTTCTAAAATAAGGCAACTTACAGGGCTGCAGTTTTCCTCAGTCAGTATGGCATCCTCCTTTTCCTCTGGCAAACACTCTAAGGCATCAAAGTACAACCACTGCATAACCGGCATGAACTTCCCTGAAAGTGCCTGAGGACAACAAGACAGTCAGTAAAGCCAGTAACTAAAGAAAACCAAAAAAAAGTACTCACAAATGCACACATTACCTTCATTGCCTCCTGTGCAGCAAGTCCCCCAATAAAAGCATTCATGGGAGCTAAGTTTCCAAGAGCCTGGAAGGATAATTTTTTGAGCAGATCCTCTTTCAGCTCTTCCTGCTTTGCAGATCCATTTAAGTGCTGATTAATGTCTTTGGTAATAGCCAAGACTTCAATTGCATCGGCCTTGAAACGAACACAAAAATGACAAATTAGAAAGAGCTTTGATACCCTTAGCAGTAAATGAGCAATAAATAGTTATTGACACTGACCTCATTACGAGGCTTTGGAAGCCGGCCATGCTTTTTCTGGAAGGCATGAAGGGCCTGGAAGCCTAGGTGCAATTGGGATGGGCGGTCAAACTTGGCAAAGTCTGTGATCAGAAACTCAGGATCCTGGATGGACTCCCGCATGGGTTTCTGTTAGAAGATGGAAGCACAGTCATGGGACAGCCATTGTATGAAGGGAAGAAGCATGGGAGAGGCACCACATGTAGGAAAGTTCTCAGCCTGTGTGTGTGTTTTTTTTTTTTTTTTTTTTAACTTACAAAGCCAATCTTTTTTGGCATTTTGACTTGGCTGACAATTCCACCGCGGACATAGTCTGAGAAACTGGTTGTATCGCAGATGCTGAATGTGTAAGGTCCTACAACACAAGAATAAAATCACACTTAAAAAGAGTTACCCCATACCCTGACAGATTTCAAACCTTACAACAAAAACAATCTGCAGCCTTAGATCCCTCTTCCTACCCCAAGGTCATTCAAATTATTAGTGGATAAACAATCCCAATTTACTGCTGCTATATGAGGAGGTATCATCATCATCCCAGCCAAGACATTTCTACTGCAAAACCTCAGGAACTAACAAAAAGAGTAATGTATCTTTTGACCATTGCCATTCTATCTAGCTATGGGCATGACAGAGCACCAGGTTCTCTCTAAATTTCAGGGATGTGCGATTTGTAGTTCTTGTTTCCATTCAGCCCTGCTGCGGGCAAGCAGGGCTGAAAAAAAAGTTAGGGAATTTTTTTTTTTTTTTTTAATTGTAAAAAAAAAAAAAAAAAAAAAGTTACACCAAAGCCACAACCCCCTGAACATTTTGAGGCCCCACAAGGGCAACCTGAAGGAATAAAGTTTTTTTGTTTTTTTTTTCCATTGGATCCGGAGCCTCATTTTATCGCCTAGCAAATTCACTTCTGCGTTAAAGGCTGACACTCCCCTTCCCTGATAAGTACCCAATTCAGCGCTCATTACACTGCAAGGTCTCTCCCCTCCCAGCCAGCACCTGGGTGCAGTGCTGGAGACAGGCAGGGAGTGGAGGAGATAAAAAAAACACAATGTTAAAAAAATTAAACGTTTAAGCTGCTATAAAGCCTCTTTAGTTTTTAAAAGCCCCAGACATTCCTAAAAGCACCTCAGATTTAAATAAGGTTTTGGTTAGAATTTTTTTTTTTTTATCAGGACAAGTAGATTGTCATGAGGGACAAGCAGATTGGGGCCCTGATTTAGTCCATGGGCAAGCAGTTTTTTTTCTTTCATAAAATTCCACAACCCTGAAAGCTCTCTCCCTGCATCACATACTCCCCTTTCCTTCATTCAACTGTTGGGAGGCAAAAAAAAAAAAAAAAAATACACAGTACTTCCAGGTACAGTGATGTGTGAGGCTCACTTCCGTCATCTCCCACCCTCAATACAAATGTTCCCCATCACAACCTCAAGCTAATCGGCATAAAAATCTGTCCTGTCAAGGAAACAGACAATTGCAGTTTAATTCTAATCGATCCGAACACACGGCTTGGTGCTTATCGAATATAGCAATGAATAGATTGACAGCATAAACCGCATGCCTTGGAGGTAAATCCTTCTTCAAAAGTACACCAAAACATCAGAAGCTTAGAATCTTTCAAGCCAATAGAGTGCCAATGTTCTTTACCAAATCCAAACAAACTGATTAGTGTGGTTGCCATTTTTGCCTACGCACCTTCCTCTCATGTGACAACATCGGTAGGAAATTATTTTTCCAGGACTGTTATATGGGAAAAAAAAAAGACTATCCTGTGACTAGCACTGTGCAAGGTCTTGATAGGACAACTTGTTCCTTGCTTTCAGTGGCTGAACAAAGGTAAGCCAAGTATGTGCTGCTGGGGAGGAGGTCATTAAAGTAATACCGTTGCTTTGACCTGCATATACAACGGTAAAGCCCAGGTTTGACTTAAAGCCATTGACCAGAAAAAAAAATACACAGATAAGCATTTCTGAAAATTTGTGATCTCCTCACCTGTTCCCACCCAGTAAGCAGACAAGACAATAGTTTAGCCTGACAGCAAGAAATTAAGCATTTGCTGCTAATAAGTAATGGAAGGTTTCTAGTTTTTCTCATCACAGGTTTACTTGTCAGCAGGCACCTTTGCACCACCAGTCAGACATTAAAGCTGAACTCCAGAATAAGTGAATATTGTTTATATACAAGAGTTGTGTGTAATCCTGCTTTGTGTTTTTTTTGCAGATGATCTGTGCAATATTTTGCCATGAAACATTTTGCGGGTGCAGAATTCCTGTAATGAAAATCAGTTACTACAGCTCTCTCTGTGCGACGGGTCTTGCATCCTCTTTTTTTTTTTGTTATTTTTTATTAACAGGGAGCCTGTAGTGGGTGGACTGGCTAGGTGCCTCCCACAGCTCTGTTCTCTACACAGGCTTTGTACAGCACAGTGATGGAGTCACTTGTGCTTTATATTTGGCTTTACAACATTTGGTGCACACAAGTGGATTTATAACCTGTGTGGGGAATAGAGAATATATCGGATTTAAAGATTTGTGCCTGGAGTTCAGTTTTATTAATGCAAGCAGCTGGTGTAGGTGGCTCACGTCAAATAAAAAACATAGGAGAGAAGCTAGAACAAAATCACAGCATTCTAATGTGGCCTTCTAGACTTGGATGCAGTTCTCACCTAGCACTTTGATCTCCACAGGCTTGCAGCAAGCTGTTCAACTCTGTCATGCCTTGTATTTCTGTGAAAGTAACAGAGTCACCACTTTCAAAGCCATGACGAGCCTCATCTAGGCAGGTGACAACACCGGGGTTATCCTAGGAAAGCATAAGGATATGTTAAAATAAGCTGAGATACCAGACGTTACTGGATAGTAACAAGCTCCAGGAAGAAGTTGGGTTGTTTTCTGCATTATCCTCTGTGGAGAAGGAGGGGGGACTGTGAACCAGATAAAATTAAATACATAGCAGAGCTCTACTGTGTGCAAAGCAGAGAGGTGAGGACTCCAAGGGTGTGTCAGCATAAATCATAAAGAACTCTCAAAAAGCAATAGGTGATTAAACCCAGCTATAGTAACCCGTAATTAAAACATCAGAATCCACATTACCCCATAATCAAAACTGAATTGTCTCATACCTTTGTTATCATTGAAATCATAGCACTCAGTGGTTGCTCTCCATTGGGATCCAGCACAATAAATTCCTTTCCAAAGTCACAAAACAGCTGCCTGTAGAAAAAAAAAAAAAAAAAAAAAAAAAAAAAAATTACACACACATCCCACCTCCTGACAAGACTTTTTGGATCGACTTTTGAAAAGTAAATCATTCTTCATAATGTTCTTACAGCATTTTTGGGCCCAACACCTAGATGATTCTTCAAAAGAATGTTTAATGCACAATTCAGGGAACGTTTTTACACTTGTTCATCCTTCTCTATCAAAGCATCTGCCTGAATAGGTGTACAATCGACACCACTTTATAATTGGATGCCTCTTTTCTTTTATTGTACTGAATATTTTCAAAGAAATAAGATTGGAAATGAAAATTAAATACGCTTTATCAATTTTTACAGGCCTTTGAGTTGGAGCATATTATCTGTAGCTCACAACTTCACCTAAAGCCAAGAGAGGAATGAGCACCTTAAAGTCTACTTTCACACTGATCCAAATACAAACCTTCCTCTGATTGGATAAAGGTGAGGCGGTGGGCGAGTGGCCGCCTCAATTTTGTTCCAGGAGCAGGACAGAAGTCCTTGTACAACTTCTGGAACAGTGCTGTATATTGTATATAGTTGATACATACAGGTTATACAGTACTTTCAGCAGGCACATCTGTTCGTGAAGAAAATAGTTCATTTGGACAAGCATGGTTCAAACAAAAAGGCACAGTAAATTTGGAGTTAGGCCAACACCTTTCACAGACTGACACCAGCGAAGAGCATGTCATGTCAGCTCTCCACAGAAGCTTTTATTATAACGTACAAGTATGCACAGCACATTATGGCACTTTGTAAAGTGGCCCTCTCCAATGCTAGAAATCAATCAACTTCATTACTTCAGTCTTCTGCACGTCCTCTTGCGGGTTAAGGAGGCTTCGGTGTCACCTTGACTGTTGGTATATGCATACAGGCATTCATTCATCCTGGCACTTACAGATGCCAGACACTGAGCTGCGCATGAGTGGCTGTCAGCATACAAGTTGTAAAAAGCTGGCAGGCAGGGGGATAAATTTTATAGGGGGAAAAAAAAAAAAAAAGAAAAAAAGAAAAAAAACAGTCTTCTATTGCAAACATCTTCCAGAAGTTCACATTGCAAATTTAACTTTGCATTAAGAAGGGAAAGTACGGAGTTCTTGTAAACATTTCTTTAAAATCGGGTAAACTAATAGGAGATGAAAATTTCAGGTTTACAAGTTCTCCAGCTAGCAGCCAGAGCTTGGTGCACTTTTCGCATTTTCCAGCTAAGCTTAAAAAGTGATAGTAAATTAATTTTTTTGATAAATGAGCCAATAGCAGAACTTACATACTCTTGCTGTTTTTAGAATGTATCTCCTCTAAGCTTCCTCTTCATACTGTCCCCTGGGCATGTTGCCTGACTCCAGGTATGTGGGTGCTCCTGTGCCTGCTGGGACATTTGGTGTCCACTGGAGTCTCCACTAATGCACCCTTCCGCTTAGAAATACAGTGCTGTTAAAAAGCATTTGTCCCCTTCCTGTTTTTTTTTTTTTTTTTCTATGCATATTTGTCACACATGATTTAGAGCAGCAAACAAATGCTAATACTACACAACAATAACCCGAGTGAATACAAAATGCAGGTTTTAAATGTTGACTTCATTAAAAAGGAAAAAGCTATACAAACCAAACCAGGCCTATGTGAAAAAGTAACTCCTCCCCTCCCCCGCTTCCTAAACCCCAATTTAACTGGTATTTTTTTTGAAAGCCAAGTTAAATTTCACTTGCCACACTCAGGCCTGATTACTGCCAGATCCACTGAATAAAGAAATCACTTAAATAGAAGCTGTCTGACAAAGTGAAGCACTCTATAAGATCTTAAAAAGCATCACATGTGATCTAAAGAGCTTCAAGGACAGGTGAGAAACAAACTGACATGCATCAGTCTGGAAAGTGTTACAAAGCCATTTCGAAGGCTTTGGGATTTCAGCAAACCAGGGTGAGAGCCATTATCCACAAATGGAGACAACTTGGAACAGTGGTGAACCTTCCCAGGAGTGGCTGGCCTACCAAAATTACTCCAACTGTGACGATTCCCTCATCCATATTGGAGGTGCATGCATAAAAGAAAAACGCTTGCAGAGGAGCATCTGAAGTTTACTTTGTCAGATACTTTGCCTATTAAAACTTACCTCTAGTGCTTTCTTGATTCTTTTTATGACAATAAGAGAGGAGGAATTAAAGTCTGCCAGAGGAATACACCACTGAGGTGGAAAGCCCTGCTGACCAAAAGGTGAGCAGGCAAGGCTGCCATTTGAAGGACAGTTTGCACAGAAAAAAACCTTCCATCTTGATTATCCACATGACTATGGAAATTTTTTCACCATAAACCACTTACGGCAATATTAGTTATGTTTGACATTTTTAGACACCATTGTATGTGGCCATTCATTCTGTTTTCATGTATATATACTTTGTTTAGTATATCTGATTTATGCACTACTTATTTAGGTTCTTAATGTGTGATAGTGCAATAGTCTTTCGGCTGACATTTTGCAGCTATCAGGTCCTGGAGGGACTTGCCATATTTTTAATATATATCGTGGTCACTTTGAATTTATTATAATGGAGACACATGATTCTACCAGATAAAATCTTCACTAATGTTATGGCCTTGCACATTGGTACCTTAGTTAAAGCTCAAGAGCACTTGAGTATTGTGCAGTTATTCCATGATCCAAAAGGATCCCATACTATCCACCTCTGACTAGGCCACTCCAAAACCTTAAATTTGTTTTTTGAGCCAAAGTCTGGACTTAAATCCGATGCTGTGACCTGACCTTAAACAGGCTGTCGATGCTCAAAAACCCTCCAATGTGGTGAAATTAAAACAATTCTGCAAAGAAAAGTGGGTCAAAATTCCTCCACAGATATGTGAAAGACTCACTGCCAGTTATCACAAATGCTTTGTTACAGTTGTTGCCACCAAGGGTGCCACAATCAGTTATAAGGTTTGGGGGGGGGGGGGGGGGGGGGGCAATTACTTTTTCACATAGGGCCAGCTTTTTTCCCCTTAATTAAATCATTTGAAAACTACGCTTTGTACTTACTTAGGTGATTTTACAATTTGATGATCTGAATCATGTGACAAATATGCAAAAATAAATAAATAGTGGCAAATCTCTTTTTCACAGCACTGAACAAAATTAGGGCAACCCTTCCTGAGAGGGACACAAAAGTCACACCGACTAAACCGTTGCTGTCAATCATCGCTGTGAGGAGTAAGGGAGGCATAGCTTTTGCTCCATGTCCCTCTCACTCAGGAACAGCAGCACGGAAAATGATAGTTCTAAATGGGTGCACATATGCCTCAAATATAAACTTTCAGACAGAACGCCAAGCAGCAGATACTGCAGAATTCTCATCTTAGAAATCCCATTCAGCCAGGTTTGTGATCACCTTTCATCTTTACATGTATATTACATATTTTTTTGTAAAATATTTTACAGGAAAGCAAAAAACCATTTACAAATCCAATTCAACTCACCCAAAGAGGCCCCGGGTGTTGGCCACAATGAACTTGATGTTGTGACTGTGGCAAAAGTCACCCACACTCGTAGCTGCTCCTCCAAAGTGGAGTCTGTGAGGATCACCAACTACAAAGACAGAATGGGCAGTAAATGAGAAGGTGAACAGAACGACACAGGAAACTGTCTGGATCAACATCTCAAGCCTACTACTGATCCATGCTGTCTTCTTGTTTATCACCAGTAAAATGTGGAAACATGTTGAGAGAGAAATGTGGTCAATAATGCGGTCCTCTCCTGAAAATGCCAGTGTGCATGATCCAATGGTTTTTAATCCCGTCAGTGATGCCATTATGCAAAAATATTAACATTCTTTACTAAAGATGAATTTACCTGAAAGCTAGAGAGGAAGTCCTCAGTCAAGGGCTTGATGGAAGCGGATACAGACACATAACGGTTCAGCTCAACCAGACTTGGAAGACAAACCTCTGCTCTGTTTTTACCGATGTCTCCCTCTCGGAGATAGAACTGACAGACAATTACAGTTACAAACTATACAATAACCCATCAGCCGCATACAAGCATAGGTTTCATAAAGCTCTGTATACCTGAGAGGAAATGTCCCTCCATTCGGCATTTACTTGGTCATGTATGGTGACTGACTTCACACCTCCTAGGATAATGTTCTTGGCTATCTCAACACCAAGGCCACCCAAACCTGAGATGAGAACATTGGAGTTCTGCATTCGCTTCATCGCTTCATGGCCCAAGACATAGCTGAAAAAAAAGCAACCAAAACTGCTGAAGTAATGACACCAAGAAACAGGGGCACTGGGCATAATATCTCTGCATGTGTTATATAAAACAAGTAATGTTCAAAAACACCCTGCCTAACTAATAAGGCCATCGCCCAGTAAGCTGTGTGTTTCAAAGTGGGTACTATAACGTGCCAGCACATACATCTATTAAAATTCCCCTGTGCCGCTTTCCAAAACACCACCAATTCTGCACACAAAATCTGATTTTTTTTTTTTTTTTATAAACTAAGGGTCAGCAGTTAGGTCCAGGCCCCAAATCCCTTCATAGTGAACCAAAGATATATGTCCTTGTCATTTGTAATGGTGAGTGTTAAAGCTCCACAAGCCAGAGACTTTTTCTTGTGATAGATTGGCATTAACAACCTGAAACAAGTATACACTAGTCATCCTCGCTCAGCTCTTGCTGACACAAACCACAAGTTAAATGCACAATGAATGTAGCCCATTTAAAATCGTTCCTCTTACATACAGTAGCATACCAACTGAGTAGGCTATTAAAGCATATTTCCAGGTTTCAAATTGTTTAGAAAAAGCTGGTCCAAACAAATTAGCTGCTTCAGTAACAGCTGCAGTGGCTGAGAGCTGTATAAACTGTATGTAGCGTCAGCGATATACAGTAAACAAGGCTGTGTTCTGGCAGGGGAACGAGCCATTTCCATATTGCTCCTGAACAAATTCAAGTGGACTGGGCACTGCTCATTCTGTCATTCACAGGCAGCCTTGTAATCTATGAATGAATATAAAGCCTCCTCTGATTGGCTGAACTGGACTGATGACACGACAAACTCAGTGTCAGCCAATTAGAGGAAACTTAAGTTTTCATTCACATTCTATCCCAGTGCCAGAACACAAATGCGGTGTACTGTGGGGGGGGGGGGGCTTGTTCAATTAAGCCTTTACACTAAAACGATTGGTATCCACCAGATTTTACATCCTCCAGCTTTAGTAAATCCCCCAATGTATGTAGCTGAGGCGAACAATAGTTAATCTGGATCACCTTGGCCCAAAAAACAAAGTTAAAGCGGAGCTCCACCCAAAAGGGGAAGTTCCGCTTTAAGCCACATTAAGGATTGGCACTTTTGGGGTTAACAGGTACCCGCTCTAGTTCCATTGCGATCGCCTAGGCAATCGGAAGTGGAAGTTGTCCTACCCCCCTCCCTCCCAGTTTTTGTAGCTGCTGACTTTTTTTTTCTCAGGTGGAACTCCGCTTTAAATGAAACCTGGAGATCAACTTTCTTCCCTATTGGCACAAACTGGATCTCACACAATGAGGTTTTTGCCCTCCGCTATATAAATTGAGGGTTTAGGTTCTGACAATGCAGGTTTTCGTTCATTTTTTTTTTTCAGTTTAAAACACCAGAGACGTGTTCGTTTGCAACCTGACCAGCTATGTAACTCCAAAGGATTAGAAGACTTTAAAGGATTGTGCATTTAATGGCCATTTCCTAATTTCCAGTTTTTGCATTTGGAAAAAAAGTGCTAGTTATCCATCTGCTAGTCTTTATGATACACTTGTTAGGATTGCTGGAGTCCTTAACCACTTGAGTTTCAATTTAACTTTTTTTTTTTTGTATCCAATTAAAAAATAATTTTATACCTGATGATTACTTTAAACCCCAAAGATTATATATTTACTGAAAGCAAACACCCTAGAGAACAAATTTGTGGCAGTTCCAATTCTTAATGTCACATGATATTAGAACAAATACACAAAGTTAATTTTAGGGCACCCAAACAATAAATTACCTTTTTTGGGGGGTAAAATTTAAAAGGATGAAGTTGCACAGAGTAAATACATACCAAACATTAAATATTGTGTGCATCTGTGAAACAGTGAAAAAACTTCAATAACCTACATTTTGCATAGGCGATATTTTAAAAGCCCCTAAAAGCCAGGTAATCAGTTTAGAGTTACCCAGGAGTCCTGGTGCTAAAATGATTGATCTCACTTTGATGTGTGGTGATATATGTAGTGCAATTGCCCTTTTTGTACGTAGGCACCTCAATGCATGCGTTTATGTATTGTATGCATGTGTAGGGGTGGAGAGATCAACTTTTTGGATTTTTTGTGTGTCTCTTTAAATATATATATATATTTTTTTTTACCTCATGACTTTATAGCCATCACATAGGAGACAAATAGCCCCCTATGAAATCGCATATAGGTGACAGGTCCTCTTTATGGGGGGGGGGGGTGGAGAGTGTGTACAAGGAGAGAAGAGGACCAGTGTTTACAGCCAGGGTCACTATGAGACCCCCACCCCTCTTGTTTACTTTAGCAGTGGGGCCAATGACAGCTCCTTCTAAAGTAAACAAAGGAGCCATCACTGCGTAAATTGACGATACAAGTACCTGACATAAATAAATGACAGAGCCAGCAAGTGAGGGAGTCTGTAGTACACACTGCCCCCTCACTGCAAACACTGATCATCTGCTATCCTGCCTCTTTGCACACACTTTCCCTCTCTTTTGTTTACATTCTGCTGTCAGCAGGGAATTCCCGCTGACAGCAAGAGGAGTCACTGGTTGTTAGGACAATGGCGGGTTCTGACTCCTAACAACGAATGCAAAAAACTGATGCAGAAACAGTTGGTTTGTCCATTTACTTCTGTTTAGGTCCACTTCTGTGTTTTTAAGCAGACCAAAAACAAAGCTATGAACCGTTTCAAAAAACAGATCTTAAACTACTTGCCCTCCTGAGGCTTTACCCCCCTTCCTGACCAGGTCATTTTTTGTGTTACGGTGCTGTGTTACTTTAACTGAAATTGCACGGTCATGCAACACTGCCCACAAAAGAAATGTCCTTTTGTTTCCCAATACGAGTAAATTGGTTTACGTGAAAATTATAGTGTTTACAAATGGTGGTATAGATACTGGAATTTTTTTTTTTTTTTGCTAGTAATGGTTGCGATCAGCGACTTATAGCGGGACTGCGGCAGGCATTCTGACACTGGGGGAAACTATCTGTGTCACTGACATCCCCAGTGACACCAATACAGTGATCAGTGCTAAAAAAAAAAAAAAAAAAAAACACAACACGCACTGACACTGTACTAGTGGCATTGGGCAGAAAGGGGTTAACCTGAGGGGCAAAGGGTTAACTGTGTGCGTTTTACTATGGGGCTTTGTGTTTGTGCTTCACTGTAATCACACTTCTTTGCATGGCACAGCCATCCAAAAGCAGTATGCACGGGCTGACAGGGAGGAGAACTGTTTACAAACAGTTCTCCTCCCCATTTAAGATGCTCAGCATTTACCGGGTGCCAGCAAGTAATCACCTGGTGATTGACAGCCGCGGCCGTAAATGGGTGGCGTGGGTAGGTAGCGCATGCCCTCTACCTGGAAATGCAAAATCATGTATATATACAAACGTGATTTTGCGCACCTGTGCCGCCCTGTAGCAGTACATTTGCTATAGGGCGGTTGGGAAGCAGTTAACAGGCGTCGTCAAACAAATTTATGAAAAACAGAAAAATGGTCCGCAAGTGTGAAGGGGGCCTAAGAGACATACGACTGAAAGGATACTTACAGCTGACGGGAATAGAGACCCTCATCGATCTCTGCTTCACTGCTGTTTCGAGCCATGCCCTGCAAGAAAGCCAAATCATTACCATCTCTGATGACAAAGACCGTAACTTATAACTATTTAAGGTCTTGTTTGTGGGGCACTTACGTTGGCTGACAATTCCGCTACTGTGCTCACATAAACTGTAGAAGAGCTACTTGAACTCGTACTTGAATCTGTTCCCGATACAGCCACACGTCGCTTCTTGGACAGCGGCGAGCTGGACCTCTAAGTTGGAGAATATGAAAAGGTCAGGTTAGACATGACGGCAACAGAAACAAGCAACTAAAGATCAGTATGAACTGACAAACTTTTCCCACAGAGAATACAAATCAAAGTGGTCAAATTCACTAAAGGTTACCGCATGTGCTATGAAGGTCAGAAATATCGCATGAGATAATAAAGGAGTCAAATCATCATAGCAAAATATCGAATGTGAGGTAAACACAGCACAATTGTTAAAATGGTGAGATAAATACCGCAAAACATGAGATAAATCATTAAAGTCAATTCATTGAAAAACATTTATCACCTGGTGTTTGCTGGCAATATATCAGAAATGTACAAAAAACAATTAGAGGAACTCTGCACTGGCCGAAAAGTATACAATGTATCAGTGTAAAAAAATGTTCTCCTCTGAGCTCAGGACTTAAAGTCAATTGTAACATTTTATCAGAGGGAGATCATTTTGTGAACTGAAAGCACACTACAATGAATTCATAGTTTCACATAATTGCTGTGTGCATTCTGGTGCAATGTTAGCCTGCAAAAAGTGAAAAAAAAAAAAAAAACCCCACAAAAAATAACACAAAAATGCCAAATATCGCAAAACAAATATCGCATTTGGTATACAACACGTTTTTAGTGAATTGAATACTTTTGAAATACTGCACAAGCTATTTTAACTCAAAAATTCGTGTGGTATTTATCTGAATTGACCCCAAAGTATAGAATGCTGGAACTAGTAGCTCCTCAACACCCAAAGTGCAAAAGGTAACGCACAAACAGTTAGGACAGTATTTATTAAATATAACAAAAGACCTTGCATTGTCAACTTCCAGTTAGATCACCAAGGCACCGTGATTTCATTCAGCCTCACTGCCAGGTCCTTGGAAAGCAAAGTATTGAAAAACTTAAAGTGGAACTTCACTCTCTCAATCAACATGGACTATTTTTAATCCTTATGCTGCCAGCATTAGTAAATTAAAAAAAAAAAAAAGTATATATTTAATTTTAAACTTTTTTTTTTTTTTCTTTTTACATTTCTTCAGTTACTTCCTGGTTTCCATACCTAGGCAAATTATGTAATACATCCCAGCAGCCTTCAGGAAGGGGGTTCTCAGCTCAGCCTATGCCTGAGCTAAGGGCAGTTGGATCCAGGAAGTAAATGATACATGAATCATCTGCCCTTACTCAAGATCGCTATTGCCAGAAATGCCAGAGTCCGTTTTTTCAAAATGATTTTGCAGCAAAATAAAGTATGGAGACATGGATGGATGGATGAATTAAAGAGAATTTTGGTTTGTGGCGCTCAGATGCAGTCTAGTTCCACCTGAAGAGCTCCAGCACATTACAGTGTTGATTAAAGCACCAGCACAGTCACAAACTTTCACATGCTACTCCACATCCATAAGTGTTTTCTTCCTTCCCCAGGAGAGCCAATAAAGATGCATGCTGACTCAAAAAGTACCAATGATGATGGATATTGCTTGGTTGTTATGGGCACTTAACAGCCAGGCAAAAGGTATTTTGAAAAGAACAGCAATGGCAACCCCCAGACGCTAATGACAGGATTACATGGGAGTTTGAACACACAAATGCCGCATGGAGCATCTCTATTGAACTAGCATTGCTATGTCAGCACAGCATGCAGCAAGACTAGAGCTTCATTAAGCACTTTGTGTATAGAGTCATTCAATTTACTAAGCCTCTAGAGTCAGGACACATGGGAGGAAAACTGCATTTTCACAGCTTACCAATAAAGGGTCCTTAGAAGAAGAAGAAAAAAAAAACAAAACAAGATCCGATACACCAGGATCGGTGCATAAGCAATGCCTTTCGGGGCAACGCACACACGCTGCTGACCTTCTTGTTCCTTTCCTTCAGGCATTATAAACCAAGCAAATACATTCACACAACTATCCAATCCTACCTCTTAAATGAAATGTACATGAAAAACACACATCATGAAACAAGAACAGATGCTACCATGGCAGGCTGTCTGACTGCATGGGTTAAAGCAGTATGCCCAAGGCTCTTTTGGCCATACTTCTATGGATCAGAGGAGTGCACTTACGCCTGCACTTCTGGGACTTCACAGAGCCGGCCTAGGCTCTGCAGGGATCCAGACGTCAGGAACCACCCAGATACTTGAGCGGCATCTAGCGCAGCCTCTCAGAGGTGTGCCGAGATCCTGAGCCAGCCGCTGCCACCCCCTACACAGCCCAGTGAGTGCAGGAGGGGCAGAACAAAAAGCTGCTGTCTGACAGTCACCACACTCTGCTCACTGAAGACAGAGAACGGAGTGATCATCAGACATGTGATTGCTTGGTTCTCAGTCATAGGGGGAGATTCTACAGCCATTTAGGGGAGTACGTAGGATTTTTTTTTTATGCCCTTATTTCTCTTTTGTTAGAATTCCTTCTCTTCATCCTTGCTGCCAGTCAGCGATTTAACCACTTCCCGACCGGCGGTTGCATATAAACAGCCGGACGGTGGCAGTGCAGGGTCGGGTGGCCGTTTATAAACGGCCTCCCCGCACTCTGCTTGAGCGCGCTGCCTGGGAGCGCGCAGCACCGCGATCCGGTGCCCACTGTGTCCTCCGGACACAGTGAAACACCAATCGGACGGGACCTCTGTACGAGGTCCCGATCATGTGATCACTGATTGGCCAATCAGTGATCACATGCAAAGTATTAAGCAAGATGTCACTTGTGACATCATTGCTTACCACGTGTGAAATCTGTGAATGATCACAGAGGTCACATGGTATATGGCTATTCACAACAGCCTTGTACCATGTGACAAGCTGTGACCAATCACAGCTCACTCAGTACTTCTCAATGGAGTGCAAGAATGCAGACAGAGAGAAAGAAATGATTGCATTACATCCTATATGGGTGTAAAAGCAATCAGTGTAAAAGAAAAAAAAAATCATCACCCCCCACAAGTAGTACAGTGTCACCATGGTGACACTGTACTGCTAGGGTGACAGTATGTAAAAAAATAAATAAAAAAATAAAATAAAAATGTAAAAAAAAAAAAATGTTTAAAAATAATTTTTGGTTATAAACTAATTTGGATTTTTTTTTTTTACTAAAAAGATAACAAAATAAATTTTGGCAAAGATTTATGATGAAATAATATTTATTTGCAAAATTTTATAAAAAAAAAAACACTTTCAAAAATTTTTGGACTTTCATTTACATAGCAAAAAAAATAAATATCCCAGTGGTGAATAAATACCACCAAAATAAAGCTTTATCTGTGTCAAAAAAAATGGTAAAAAATTCATTTGGGTACAGTGTTGCATGACCGTGCAATTGTCATTCAAAGTGTGATAGCGCTGAAAGCTGAAAATTGGCCTGGTCAGGAAGGGGGTAAAAGTGTCCGGTCTGGAAGTACCGGTAGTTTAAAAAAAAAAAAAAAAAAAAAAAAAAAAAGGAACCAAAGCCTCATGACAACCGTGAAATGATCATTATTCTATGGGAAGATTGTAGCCTATAATTCTCATACTGCTGACACTAGAAAAGTCAGGGAAAAAAAGTTTCAATTATCACCAGTTAACCGACATGGTGAACCTGACAACCCAAGAGTCCAACACATTCGGTTATTATTGCAAACATACCTATAGGGAAAACTCTGGTGCTTCTAGCCCCTAGCCCAACACACGCGTGTCCCTGCTGACATGCACGGAAAATGACAGAACTCTATTGAAAGACTGATAATGTCAAGAACACCTGCAACTACAATGCCAGCATTAATTCCTAGCCGATGGATGAGCTGCACGGCATGGATGGCGATTTATCCCAGTAAATGATGATCAATGGGCAGAGGAACAGGTGTGTGGTCTGCTTCTAGGAATAGAGATTACACCAACACATGAGAAAGTGAAAGCCTTAAATTGTGACGCTGCACACACCATCTGCTATCATCTGGAAATCCCCTTCCCTGACACATGAGCCATGACCTCGAGTCACAGGCAGGCCACTAAGGGGTTACTCCATACCAGGAAGAGGTAATCTGAGCTTGGGGTGGGGTCCACTTCACCATAGACGCCCAGGACAAGAATCTGATATTAAAATGGGATTAAAAATACACTGCGGTACAAAACTGTCCTATGCTGATCCCTACCAATGTCATTCATGTTCTCAGCCAACACCTCACAGAGCGGGTATCCAGAAGAAATGGATGAAAACTACAATGAGGCCAGGTGGAGGCAGAGGACACAATATACTTCCTGTAACCTGGATACACAGAGAAAGCAGCTTCACAGCAACCTGTCAGAACACCATCAAGAGGCCCCGGCCCCCACAAGTGACCCTCTCCCAGGTTTTATGTAAACATACACCCACCCGGGGCGGGTCACTGAGCATCACATCAACAGAAAATGACTTTAGGGACTGACAAAATCAAAATATTTTTCTCAATGAAAAAACTAAGAAGACGTTCCACATTTTACCACCAAATAGGATGAATGAGAGGGCATGAGACACAGAACATGTATGGGATGTGACCGCACACTTTACTGAATGATCACAGTCATTCTAATACAGGACACAAGATTACATTGCATCTGCCTCACCAACCTCTATATCCATTGTAGAGACCGCACAATTCTACATTGCATCTGCCTCACCAACCTCTTATACCCATTGTACAGACCGCACAATTCTACATTGCATCTGCCTCACCAACCTCTTATACCCATTGTACAGACCGCACAATTCTACATTGCATGTGCCTCGCCAACCTCTATACCCATTGTAGACACCGCACAATTCTACATTGCAATGGATATCGAGGTTGGTGAGGCAGATGCAATGTAGAATTGTGCGGTCTCTACAATGGATATAGAGGTTGGTGAGGCAGATGCAATGTAGAATTGTGCGGTCTGTGCATCTGCCTCACCAACCTCTATATCCATTGTAGAGACCGCACAATTCTACATTGCATCTGCCTCACCAACCTCTAAACCCATTGTACAGACCGCACAATTCTACATTGCATCTGCCTCGCCAACCTCTAAACCCATTGTACAGACCGCACAATTCTACATTGCATCTGCCTCACCAACCTCCATACCCATTGTACAGACCGCACAATTCTACATTGCATCTGTCTCACCAACCTCTATATCCATTGTACAGACCGCACAATTCTACATGGCAATGGATATCGAGGTTGGTGAGGCAGATGCAATGTAGAATTGTGCGGTCTGTACAATGGGTTTAGAGGTTGGTGAGGCAGATGCAATGTAGAATTGTGCGGTCTCTACAATGGATATAGAGGTTGGTGAGGCAGATGCACAGACCGCACAATTCTACATTGCATCTGCCTCACCAACCTCCATATCCATTGTACAGACCGCACAATTCTACATTGCATCTGCCTCACCAACCTCCATATACATTGTACAGACCGCACAATTCTACATTGCATCTGCCTTAGTGATCCCAATATACATTGTACTGACCGCACATAATTCTAATGCATTAGTGCCTGGCTAGGACACACTGCCTGGTTCAACCATGATATCAAACAATGCAGAGCATGACTGGATGAGAACAGCAGATCCATCTGAATCATCAATGCTGGCTCATTACATACAGAGAGGATTCTCCACCCCGACACCCGCTATGAAGAAGTGATCCGACACCCTGACACCCGCTGTGAAGAAGTGATCCGACACCCGCTATGAAGTGATAAACCATTATATCAAACAATGCAGAGCAAGGCTGGATGAGAACAGCAGATCCATCTGAATCATCAATGCTGGCTCATTACATACAGAGAGGATTCTCCACCCCGACACCCGCTATGAAGAAGTGATCCGACACCCTGACACCCGCTGTGAAGAAGTGATCCGACACCCGCTATGAAGTGATAAACCATTATATCAAACAATGCAGAGCAAGGCTGGATGAGAACAGCAGATCCATCTGAATCATCAATGCTGGCTCATTACATACAGAGAGGATTCTCCACCCCGACACCCGCTATGAAGAAGTGATCCGACACCCTGACACCCGCTGTGAAGAAGTGATCCGACACCCGCTATGAAGTGATAAACCATTATATCAAACAATGCAGAGCAAGGCTGGATGAGAACAGCAGATCCATCTGAATCATCAATGCTGGCTCATTACATACACAGTCTGAGAGGATCCCCCACCCCGACACCCAATATAAAGTGATCCTCCACCCCAGCACACACAGAACGAGGTGATCTTCCACCCCAACACACGGAGTGGAAGATCCCCACGTACGGTATGTGTCGGGGTGGAAGATCACATCATATTGGGTGTCAGATTACTTTATATTGGGTGTGTTGGAGTGGAAGATCCCATAGTACTATAAACACACACTGTACGAGGGGCTCTTCATCCCCGACACCCACTATGAAGTGATCTACCACACACACCCAAGGAAGCTTCCACCCTGACATAGTTGAAGCGATCTTCCACCCCGACACCCACTATGAACAGATCCTCCACCCCGACACCCACTATGAACAGATCCTCCACCCCGACACCCACTATGAACAGATCCTCCACCCCGACACAACCACGCAGAGTACGTATATTAGACATGGATGCTAAATCTCTGCACACACACAATACCATCCTGCGGGGAAGGCGATGATCCGCTCGCTGTGTGATTAGACGGAAATGACACCTGGGCTGGTGCTGATGACTCAGGGTGTCAGGAGATCTCGGGCTGGCACTGATCTAGGAGTGACCCGGCCCCTCGTAAAGAAACACCCTGGAAACGCCCGATAACCAGCCCGCCCGACCCAGAAGTAAGCACTCACCAATCCCCCCGGGGCTCGCCCCACATTACTTCTCCAATTCCTCACACCCGGCTCCGGCCTAACACAAAAACAAGATGGCGGCCGCCCGGAAAGCGGCAGAGAAGAGCGTAGCGCGCCCGGCCTCATCAATATACAGCATGGGCGGGTCACATGCCGTCCAATAGGAGGCGGGGCCGCGCCCACTACCCCACCGCGTCTGCTCTGACAGCACGGACCACGTGTTCTAGTGTCATATGACAATGGTGCAGGCAAACTCACGTGATAGCGCCCAACCACTCCTGTGAGCCGAGGTTAAAATGGCGCTGCGCTCCACTGTGGAATGCACCATTCATTTTTGACAAATCTGGACAGACCGATCTCTACCCTCCTAATCACACACGACATGAGAGATGAACATGGGGCCAGGTATGTAGTGAGGAAGATCAATTCCAAAAAGAAGCTTTTAACGCTATAACGTAAACGCCATTCATATACTACTACACATTACATTTCCGGGCTGCCACAGACCTAGGTGATGACCCGCCTCATGTTCATCAGCCCAAAAAGAACCACTCCCTACTACTATTTCCGTCTCGAACCGATTGCTTTTGCGATTCCTCCCAACTGGCCCAGCACAGCGGCACAGAAGAGTTCGGCTCCCCCCCCATTAAAATACAGCGTGGGCGCACTCACTCTGCGGGGCCTAGACCACGCCCTCGCCGCGTTTACTCTGACAGCTCCAGATCACGTGCCCCAGAGACAGGAGCGTGGAGAGTGCGGGTAAAAACCAGGTGACTACGATTAGCCACTCCCGACGGAGTTAAAATGGCACTGCGTTCCACAGTGGACCTCACCAATCACGATTGTCAAATATGGCCGCCTCTCAAACACACACCTGACATAAGAGATCGGCATACAATCCATTATGTGACAAGGCATACCCTTTTAACATAGAACCAAAACATAACTGTATGACATGTTCTATCATATCAATTCTACCAGCAGAATTGTAGAACAAGTATCCCCATTGGAGAATTTCCCCTCTATTACTTTTCTGGGGACGAGCCAAATTTTTGAGGGTTCTTTTACTTTCAATGATAATCGTAAACAGGACAAAAAGGGGTGACTCTCCTTAATGGGGTCACAGACAGCAAGAGAAACCCTGTAATCCTTCTCCACTCTATCCAAAACTAAAAAAAAAAAAAAAAAAAAAGTTTTGCCTTTAGTTATACTTTAAACTGGAGCTCCAGTTGAATAAAAAAAAAAATAAAAGTCAGCAGCTGCAAAAACTGTAGCTGCTGACTTTTAAAATACAGACACTTACCTGTCCCTCGGTCCAGCGGTGTCCTCACCACCACTGGTTTCACCAGCCGTCTTCTCTCCCCGGCATCTTCAGCGTGGGCTCTTGGCTGTGACAGCTTGCTTCATAGCCGGGTGCCCACTGCGCATGCACAAGTAGCCCCGTAGTCTTCTGGGACCCGTCACGTGTCCCAGAAGACTACGGGGAGGAAAAAACTTCCGTTCGCTTTAGGCAATCGCAGAGGAAGTGGTACACGCTTCCCAAAGGTGCCAACCCTTAACAGGGAGCGGGGGACAAAGGCTTAAGGAGGAACTTCCCCTTTTGGGTGGAGCTCCGCTTTAAAGTGCTACTAAACCCAGGTTCCTGCGATCACTATATCTGGTCTCACACAGTACACACAACATGGAAATGCAATTAGTCTAGCAAATATAAACTGCTAAATACTGTTTCTCATCAGCAGTATATAGCAGTCTTGTGACTTCTATCAGTGTTCAGCAGAGCACTGGTTAAAGCTTGTAGGGGTTTTCATTCTCCCCTGACTGTCCTATGAGGCTGCATAATCCCTGACCCTCTGTCTGGACAGTGCTGATTGGCCCTGGTGCTGATCACATTGGGATTTTATTCCCAAAAAAAAAAAAAAAAAAAAAAAACCACCTCTCTAGCAATACACACCAAACTGGGCATGTGCAGCTTGCCCCCAAGGCTCTGTTCTATCAGCCGAAGGATTGGGGACTGTGGAATATGGAGGATCAGAGAAGACAGGATTAAAAGTCCTTTTTACTCAGTGCCGAGGTTAATACCCCTTAGGTTTCACAGTGAGTATACCAAGCATGCTTTATTTCATATACAGACTGATTTTACTGTTGTGGGTTTAGTAACACTTTAATACAAGTTTACAAAGATTTGGAGCACACAGAATCTGGAGCAGCTGTGCATGGCAACCAATCAGCTTCCAGCTTTCTATTTTCATAGCTTAACTGAGCAAGCTGAAGCTGGCAGCTAATTGGTTACTATGCACAACTACTCCAGTTTTAATAAATTCCCCCAGAATGTTTGCAATCTCCTATTTTTCCCATATGTGTGCCATCCTCTGCAGATAACACCCCCAAGTGCCACAGCTCAGGGTGAATCAGAAGAGGGCGTTTCACTGGCCTGACACCTTTAAAAAGTCTTAGCTGGCAGCCATCTGAGGCTTTTCATACAGGTCGCTTTATTACTTTCACTATCAGAGCCCTTTCTTTCCCCATGTTAAATTGTACAATTTATGCCCGAAGATTAGTCAACGCACAATACTGTGTGCGCAAATTTTAGTGCACGCAAAAAATATATATTTTTGTTGGTAAAATACAAAAGATGAGGTCGCGTAGAATAAAATATATCGAGCCTTAAAATTGTGTGTCTGTGAAACAAAAGACTGTTGCCCAAAATGTTCTATTTTCTATCTTTAAAGCTCATCAGTTTAGAGGTAACAGTGAATGATGGCCCGAGAATGTTTGCTACTATGTGGAAACTTATTGTATGCGTGTGCATCTGACAAGTGTTTGTGTTCATATGTGCATGTACCTGGTGACGGGATTGTGGGGGGAAACGTAAAAAAAATTAAAAAAATAATAATAATTGGGCAAGGATTGGGGAATTTGAAGAGGACCTACCTTCACTCAAAAGTGAAAGTACAGCTAATCCTCCTCCCCACCCCTAACATCATTTGAGAGTTTATTTTCTTTTTTGTGGGGAGTGGGTACCTTTTTTGACAGGTATCCGCACCCACTTCCCCAATTATTTCCTTGGAGAGAGAAAAGGTTGCTCATCTACCCCGCCCTCCTTGGCTGCAGCCTTCTGGGACATGTCACACATCCCAGGAGTCAGCAGGACCGGTCTCACTGCGCCATGTGATCTAAAGCATGCACAGTGGAAAGCCAATTGTGATTCCTGAGAAAGACACAGCCAACTCCCAAATTCAAGATGGCGGCAAAAAGGACCCACAGCAGTGAAAAGAACCAGCTGCGGGAAGCCAGTGCTGGACTCTGGGGATTGGTAATTACCTGATTTTTGAAAGTCTGCAGCTACAGCATTTTTTTTTTTTTTAGGTGAAGTGCCCCTTTAACCACTTAGCACCCCCTTACAGTAGATTGACCATGACAGGGCAGTATCTGCAGGCTATAAATGTTGGGAACCTGCTAATTCCACTGGACACAGTGGGATTTTGTCAGCAGGTCTGGCTAATGATTTATGGCTGGGACCTGCTGATCGGCTGTGTCCAATTGAAGCACAGGGCCCTGTGTTTATAAATTTAGGGCTCTGTACACAGATCAGTGATCTGTTTCTAAAACAGCCAAATCTCTTCGTAAAATATCACACACACATTACACTTGTTAGGCACATAGTTAACCCTTTGATGTTAACCCCTTCCC